TATATATATATCTTGTTTAATGAAAACTAAGTGGTCTATTTTGAAACAATTCACAGGTCCTTTCACCCTGCACACATCTGTGAACATTCTTTTTGTGTGAATAATGGCAAAATACAGAACGCTCTTAGGCCTGGTTCACACCTGGGCGTTTTGTAGCGCGTTTGAATGCTCTGCAAAACGCTCAAACACCGAAATCCCATTATTTCCTATGGGTATGGTTCACACCTGGGCGTATTACAGGCCGTATGAACGCGCTACAAAACGCCCTACAGCCAAAAAAGTACAGGAGCTTCTTTGGGGCGTTTTTGTCGCACATTTCCATTGGGATACAGCCAAGTAGCCCTCGGAAACGCGCGTTTGCCACGCAATTTTTTTACAGCGAATCGCTGTAAAAACGCGCGTCACAACACGCGTGACAAATGCGCATATTCGATACGCCTAGGTGTGCACCCAGCCTTAATATATTTTTTTATCAGGCCAAATGTATTGTGATGTAATTCTGATTTAGGGCCACTACAGGGAGTTGAAGAGACCAGGAAATACGTATTTATTTCCTAGGCTTCTCTCAGCTCCATCCACTGGTAATATATTTAGAAAGTTTGCTTTTTGTCATTATTGGCACAGATTTATAGGTCGAATTACCCTGCAAATTGTTTATAAATAGACCCCTAAAGCTTCTGTTGCACTTTTGTGATGGAATATTATGGTGCATATCTGACTCTCGGATTTGTAATGGTTGCTTGTCCTCCAAGGACACTCTTGGGAGACCTTATGAGAGATGTGTTGGCAGCGCACTCATATTGCAGTGTGCTGTACTTGTCCTGAGGTGTGCACAGGCGTATTATTTGCAATGGGTTTGAAGGCGTTGTTTCTAAAATGTAGTAAAGCACTTAAATGTGACCAGAGTCTAAATAACAATTAGTGCTGTAACCAACAGAAAGAAATATAAGGGAAGTTGTGTTTGAACAATATTTTAAAAAAAATATTTCCCCTCGAACTGGAATGTTGCCTCTAAAAATCAATGACTTTGATAATAATAGGGATGTCAAGCATTAGTGTATAATTAAAGGACATCTCTCATAAGAAAAATATGTGGGCTTCAATTGCTGACTTCCTTCCTAAAGTGTTAGTTGACTGTCATTTCTGAGAAGGAGATTAGCCATGGTATTCCTTGATTTCTATTATGATTGCTTTGCATAAGAATAAAGAGGTAAATTGTGTTATATCAGGTCATTCATTTTGTCCATGGTGTGCTTTTTTTTTTTATAAAGGTATCAGTGTCAGTGTCAGCATAACACATGTGGGGAGATCTGTGACCGCTGCTGTCCTGGTTATAATCAGAAGCCATGGCGGCCTGCTGGTGTTGACACAGCCAATCAATGTGAACGTAAGTGTTTTATAACCTCTTTATTTGATACTCAAATCTAAAGTCACACTTCTGATGACATGACTCATAATGCAAGCAACTTTATTCAACAAAAGTAAATGCTGCAGCCCCCAACTAAGAACCACCTATGTCTGATTCGTTTCACCACCTTTACGGTCTTAAACATGAAGTCAAAAGGGGTTGATTTACTAAAGGGAAATTGGTTGCTCATATTTACAAGAGAAAATGCGCTTAGCAGGGGAAGTTTGCCCTTAGTTTAGTGAATAATGGGAAACTCTGCTGACTTCCTTTATCCAATCATGTGCAAGAAAAAATGCTTTTTTTTAACATTTTTCTTGCACATGATTGGGTATTCTATACAAAGTGCGATTTCACCACATTCACTAAGCTAAGGGAAACATCCCGTGCATAGTTCAAATTCCCTTGCAAAGTGAAAAGCCTATTTGCCTTTAGTAAATCAACTCCAAGCCTGCAAGGGTTAAATGCATCACACACTGCAGTGTGTACTTTTGTTCTGCTGAATAAAGCTAGATGCATTACGAATGATGTCACCGGATGTGCAACATTCATTTTCAGATTGATTGTGCACGGAGCAGAGATGGGCTCCTTCAGTCAACACCCAGTGTACTAGAAGCTCCTGTACAATGGAGGAAAGAAAGCTTTGGAGCAATGGAGCTTCTGCGGAACTATGTATTTGATAATTATTTACATGTGCTCTGATCTGGAATGGATAGCTGGTGAAGGTGATGAGTCCCAGGAAGTCCAGTTTGAAAAAGCTTAACAACAATAAACCTAAGCATCATGAATTGGGGAAATAAAATATCTCCTCATGACGTCAGGAGAGTCCTCTATAACTGAACCTTGATGTATTTGATTTTCCAAGGTCGCAGTAACCAGAAACATGGGTGTCCCTGCTCACTACCACATTTTAGTGTTTTTTTCTAAGGAAACATCTGGAGAAGAATACTGTTTTATATCCTAAAAATAATGCTATAACCCACTTCAGAGATAATTAGGAATATAGTGGGTTGGTAGTGGCAGATAATCTTTTATAATCAGTTAATCTCCCTGGACAGCAAACTGCCCAGAGAAATTAATTTGAAATATCTATGTCATATTCCTCTCATGTGCTGGAACTGCCAAAGGATAAGGTCTTCCAGTGTTCAGACTAGATAACGGTGAATTAAAAGGAGGGAAAAGCCAGTGACCACGGCAGGAAGGTAACTTTTGTAACAAGGTGAGATCAGAAGAAACTCAAATGTGTGTGTAGAGGGTACATCCCAACTATATTACACTTCAAATGAAAAACTAGTTTGCTACAGCAGATAGATGAGCATTAAACATATGGGAGATCATTTATGAAAATTGGAACAAAGAATAAAGCAGATGACTATAAAAAGCAGGCAGTTTTACTTCTTACGCTCTGGAAAATGTAAACTGTGTATGTTGAGTCTGATTAATTTTTGTGGGCAAAAGCTTCAAAAGTTCTCTTTGTTTAAAGAACACCAGGAAAACTTTTCCTTAACCCTTGCAGTGTGCATTTTTGTCTAGGTGCTAAAATAACAAAGTTATATTCACCTGAAGCTCTGAGCCAGACAGGTATCACAGCACTCCCTCCAGCTTATTTCCTCCTACACTGCAGCATTTGAATCTTCCTCAGTTTCCTAATGTCTATACACAGTGTATAGATGTTGATGATTTACAGGACCCTAGGCCGCTGCAGAGGAGGGGGAGAGAGGCTGGAAGGACCGGTCTAAGAACTAGTCAGCTTAGAGCATTTGGTAAGTATAACCTTGTTTATTTTAACCTAGGCGAAAATGAGCAGTTAACCCTTGCAGTGCAGGGGCAGCCCCACTGCAAGGATTAATAAAAATGTTGTTCCTGGAGTTCTTTAAGTTTTCAAAAACTGAGCATTATTTTAAAAAAGTTCACCTACTTAAAAGGTGTTAGAAAAGCTTGACATCTCATGTACTATGTGAGAGGAGCAGTGTTACTCTTTAAGGCTGGACTTTGGGATAAGCAAATATTGTCTAACTATAAGAGGGATGTGTATTCTTACTGGGATCTTGGTGTCCTTGGTGTATTTCTTCCAGATTTATGCAGTAATCCAACATGAAACTTTGCCTCTGTACACGAGTTCCTGCATTAAGCCCAGTCATTGCTGCTTTGTCTGCTTGTGCAGGGTGATTGGTCTTGTATCTACCCTTTCCTGTAGTTTTCTGCCGGCAGCCTGTAGTGGGGGGGTCCTGCTGGGCCCCTCCTACAGCTGTACAGTGGTGATGATACTTTTACAAGGTACTACCTACATTTTCAAAGGCATTTGGCGCTTAGAAAGTGGATTTACATCCCTTGTGGCCTTTGTGGCTATTGATTAATATAAGAGGAAGAATCAAAAAGTAAAGGCAGTTTATAAATTGTGCGGTAAATGGAACAGAGAGAAGCTTGCGCAATACAGTATATCTACATAGCCTGTTGGACATTTGGACATTTCAACCATGCGCTGTACAGTCCTCGGAATTTAGTAGTGTTGTAGTCACGTGGACAAAAACATGCGAGATTGCACCATCAAAGAATAACGTGCCGTAGTGCACTTTCTTTGGGCAGAGGGAGTGAAACCAGTGGAAATTCACCGTTGGATGTTGGCTCAGTATGGTAAGAAGAGGAATGCTGTCCAAAACAGTCCTGCTGCACCATCACAATGCAGGTCCTCTTACAGCAGCTGCCACAGAAGAGACAGTGCAACACCTTGGGTTCGCACATCTTCTACATCCTTCTTACAGCCCGGATCTGGCCCCAAGCGATTATCACATGTTTGGTCCACTGAAGGAGGCGATCCATGGTTGCGGATTCACCCCAGATGATGAAGTAAAGGAAGCGGTGCACACGTGCCTTCAGCAGCACCCGAAAAGCTTCTTCTCTGCAGAAATACAGAAGTTAGTTGAACGATACAAGTGCATCATCTTGAATGGGGACTATTCAAAAGTGATATGCTCAATTGCTCACGGTTAATTCTATTAAAGCCGTTTAATGTATTTTGCCTTTACTTTATGATTCTCCCTCATATATAAGTAGTTTGGGCCTGGAGTTCAGCTTTAAAATGATCTTCACTTGCAATTGAGTGTTTCATATTAAAAACAAAAGACAAATGTTTTATACTACTTCAAGAACAGCTGTCCCATTAAGACATGGTAGTAAAAAAAACTTTTATATGTCTATTCAAATTAATTTTATGAAGCATACTCACTGTAGAACCTCTTTTGTGTCAAAGGATATTAATCTTTTTCCAACCCTTCTAATATTATTTGCTTGGTAAACTTTAAAAATCTCTGTAAGTGGTAATTCACACTAGAATAAAAAAAGAATGATCACTGCTGTGTATATGATTTATGTAGAAAAAGAACTCGCTGCCTCATGAGTGCACAAGATTTGATGGGAATTTCTGGTTTTCTCCAGCCATGGGCACGCTTGAGCAGAGTTATCAAATGTTACATCTAAATTACATTCCATATAGGAAAACACCTAACTCCCAGTATAGTCATTGCTTTACAGATATTTCCATGAATACAACTCATTTTCTGTCTGATAACTGAATTTTATAAAATAATATTAATTATGGTATGCTAATGGACATCTAACAGTTTATCATTTATCACAATTTATCACTGTATTGTTGGGTTTCCAGACTACAGGAAATATGTTCACAAATAATATACGAGTCCCAGGGTTAAAGGTATATATTGTATCCTCTCCACAGCCTGCAATTGTCATGAACATGCCTCTGACTGCTATTACGATGCTGAGGTCGATTATCAGCGAGCGAGTCTAGACATACATGGACAGTACAGTGGAGGAGGAGTTTGCATTAACTGCCAGGTACTTGTTTCTCTATTGTTACTGTCTCTTTCTTAGTTTTTCAGTTATGCAGATTCCTTTACATTTAGTTTTGCAATTGTGGAGAGCTCTTCTCTGTTTGCTCTTCTTGATTTTATGTTTGGTTTGTCTGGGCACCACTTTTCTTGAGCAGAGTAGTGAGGCAGTGTAATTTAGCAAGATTAAAGTGCGAAGCTGGCCATACATCCATCAGCCAATGTTTGACCGACAATTTTTGGCCTCGGTCCTTTGACAAAATTTGAAAAACTGACAAAATTTGAGAAACTGAATGAAGGGGTGCCAGCAAAGCCACACATTGCTCGGATTTGGGGCTATAGCTATCCCAATTCCTTTAAAAAAAAATAGTTTTGGATAGTGGGGGGTGGGTTATAACCTCCTTGGGGAGATTTCTGGTTAAATAAATATTGTGCAGCAAAACCTGCAATGGGAGCCTAGAAAACAAAACAAAACAAAAAAATCTGATATGGGTTCTAGTCTTCCAGAACGTTAATAAAAAAAGCCTTTTTTTTGTTTATTTATATTTGCTGTCTCTGTTGGAGCCCTGTCCCTTTCTGCCCTGGTACATGTAACCTGGCAGAGGTTCTAACCCTTCCCTACTCTATTCAAAACGTAAGAAAAAAAATTGTGACTGAAGATACTTTTTTATTGGCAATTTAGAAGCACTTATATTCTAAAGATTTGAAGTTCACTTTTGTAGTAATGCCAACTTAGTTAACATGTATAATAATATGGAATGTATTTAGAAGTAAATCACATGTTTCTATATTTTATGATCATCAAATAATAAAACAGAGTGCTTCATGTCATATAATGCCCAGCGAATGAGTCAGAGGTTAAGAAAGCTTACTTCTCCACATCACGTTCCATCTGTTCATATGATGTGCTACTGGCAGCAGAGCTCTACCAAGACTATATTTACTGTATCACTTGTGGTGATAGATAGGATCATTTGTAAAGGAGTGGTCTAGTTAAGCTTGTTAGTCACTCTAAATATCTACTTACTCCAGCTGTACATACAATTCCACATCAACAAATGGATAAGAATTTCCTTAAAAGGTAAAAAATAGTGCACAGATACTATAAGGTAGTCTTGTAATATGTGTCAGGTACAGTATATGAAAGTAGAATAAGAAAGTCACCAGCACTCCAAAAATATTCAATTTCCAGATTTATCATAAAAAAAATTGAAAACTTTTTGATGCATTGGGGCATTGCATGGTCCCTTCCTCAAGGCAACATAGTTGCGGCTTTGTTGAAATGAGTAAGGGACCCTGCGAGACCCTGAATTGTTAGATAATACTGCATGTGGATGGTGGCTTTCTGCATTTTTCTATAGTCAGACCTATTATCATTATCAACACCCACCATTTTCACTGGAATGCATCTTATATATAAACTATAAGGTATATAAGAGTATATGTATTTCCTATACTAAATATCTTGTTGTTTTACTGGTATTTTGTAGCATAATACAGCAGGTGTGAATTGTGAGATGTGTGCTGTGGGATACTATCGACCATATGGCGTTCCTAAAGAAGCACCTAATGGCTGTATCCGTAAGTCCATATTATTTATCTCTGTCCTATTTGAGATTTACAACTTGATTAATATGATGGATTACAACCAGGGCCGGATTTACTCTCTCTGCTGCCCCAAGGCCAGGTTCCTCAATGCGCCCCCCCATGGAGAATGGCAGACCTGCAGGCTACATACAAGTGATCTTGGTGACATCGCCTGGATAACTTGTACAAAACAAGCGGCAGCTTCCCCGCTGTACATTTAGCTCTGCTTGCCCAAGCAGAGCTAAATGTAGAACACAACTACTCGCCCGGAACTGCATGTCCTGGGAATCGGGAGATGGGAATTCCACACCCCCTGCTGCCCCTCTACTCCCTGCTGTCTCAAGGCTGAGCCTTGGTTGGCCTTGTGGGAAATCCGGCCCTGATTACGACACTGAAATACAGCCAATTTTACTTTAAAGCCAATTTTATACAGCCAATACTAGAGGTGCACCGAAATGGAAATTTTAAAACCGAAACGAAACCGAAATAAAAAAAATTGTCAGAGTCCTGTGACAGTGCTGTCTCCGCCCCCGCACCGCTCTGCCCCACTGTGATAGGCGGCTGAGCAGTGTGGGAGGAGAGACGCCGGCCGCTCACAGCGCTCTCGTCTTGCAGCGCTCGGCCGGCTGTCACTTTCTTTTGTCCCCGCTGCAACACAGAGCAGCGCCCAGCGGGGAGCAAAGAAACCAGGGATGCGCCAATGTATCTGCCGAAACATGGCTCTTTCGGCATTATGCCAAAAGTGCAATTTTCGGCCGATATGTTTCGGCGCCGATATATCGGTGCAAACCTAGCCAATACATTAAAAGGCATTTCCCATACGTAAGGTACCGTTACAAGCACCAAACATTTTCTACCCTCCTTGTCCATTCATGAAAGTTTGTGTGCCATAGAGTCCCATGCTAGTCACATATGAAATATTTTATTGCTATACAATCTTCTTATGTTTTCATACAAGACCGACACACCAGACAACATTAGAAAGTCTACAATCCCATATTAATTGTAGAAAAAAGATTGTAAGAAAATTCCACACACAAAGCTTCTGATTGTACAATGTAACTGATTGCCACAACCATTATATTGTGCTTCAAACAAGTGAAGAATTGTAAATACTTTATATACAAAGACTTCTAGTTATTCTGCTTGGGTTGCATCTTATGTGATCCCATGCATGCTGAGATTTCTATACAATTCAGTGGAGTAGGTCACATGATCCAAATGCCAATATATAGGTGTGGTGCATTCTGTTGACACCATCTGTGCTTTGTAAACCCCAAAACTTGTAATGTTTCTGTTGTTAGCTTGCAGCTGCAACCCTCAACAGTCAGATGGATGTGAAGAAGGATCAGGAAGATGTTATTGTAAGCCCAACTTTACTGGATCTAACTGTGAGAGGTGTGCTGAAGGATACTATGGATATCCAGTCTGTCGACGTAAGTTTTTAAGGTGTCTCCTTTTTTTGCAGTGCAAGCTTGCGTATACATTTATCTGTGCAGAACATACTTATGTTTAGTCTGAAGTAGAAGCAAGCTATGTCACTGTAATGTAGTGTTGCTATACTGTATACAGTAGTAGCCATTCACAGTCACTGCCACTATATTGCATCTATGCATTCTGTAAAATCTCCCTATTTATTTTTTATTTTATATTAATGGTATTAAAAATATCCAGCACCATTCATGCAGGAATACTATAGAAGAGGCAACACAAAACAACTACAGCACAATAAGATTAAAAAGGCAAACTAAATTTACTGAAGCAAGTAAACAATAATGTGATTTATATATTATAGTAAATAACACTGGATGACAGGAGCAGCAATAAAGTATGTGAAAGGACCATAGCATATAATGTTATCAATAAAGGGGAGGCATTTCTTGGTTCTCATGTGTCACTACTACAACTACTATTTCTCTGATAGTTATTTTGTCTATGGATCATACAAATGTAACACATGATTTATCCACTATCACATGTTAGGGTAAGAAATCTGAATAGCAAGTGAAGCCATAACAACATTACAGGTCTTTTTTTAAATAGTAAAGGTTTATTGAACATTTTACAAGCAGGAGCAAAGTACAAAGAGTAGTTCCATAGCTACGACCGTGAATGAAAAAAGCACATTCCATAGACAATTGCTTGTTCACACTAATCAAGATGAAAAAAATATGGAAAGTGAGTACGGAGTTAAGAGGGTTAGCCACTAGGCCATTCTTGGGGAGGGACAGGGTGGCTACTGTGGAAAAAAAGCTCATAAGTTAGTTCCCAGAGTAATGTCACTAAAGGATGTCCCTAAATTGGACTGTACTTATACGATAGTGCTTCTGATTTGTTTATAGTTGTTTTTGGAAACCACTGGCCAGAGAGCTTCCTCATGTCCAACATATCATGTGTGATATAGTCTACGTGTTTCCAAGAATCTCTGCTATCTTAGGCCAAAATTCTCTACCAAAATAATTCTATGAAAAGCATCCGCATTAGCAAAACAATGATTGTAAATGGGATCCCTGGATGGGCAACTAACAGCAACTCCTACCCTTGTTCCCCGCTGACAGTTCAGCCCCCTACCGCTCGGCCAGCTGACCAATTGACAGCTCGGCCCTTCTCCTGATACTCACAATACAGTGAAGCTATCTCCTAACACCTAAATGAATCTATGCGCAAGACTTACAAATAAACAAAAAAACACCATGTCGTATACTTTTATGAATTACATTTTTTATTATTTGTTAAGCATAAGTAAGTCTCCTCCGGTGTGCCATGTCCTAGCAGAACTTGTGCCTCCATACTCCAGCATGCTCAGTTTTAAGAACGGCTTGGCCTGCTGTGTTTGTAGGGGCAAGTCTCAGAAAATAAAAAACAAACAAACAAGTTAGCTCCAATTAATATAGCTATTCCTATATGAAGGAACATACCAATATAATGTTTTCAGTGCCCCTTTTATCTTTTGGGCTAGTATACAAAGTATTTATACTCACCATCAGAGTCACAGGGCTGATGGTTCAAACCAGTTACAGTACTAGCAAGTTAACACAAAGCGGTTTCAATTAGAAGAATATAAACCTGAAGAGCAGTAACTGTAGCAAACAGTCAGAATCCATTAAAAATTGAGGGCTAATAGCTTGCTTATCATGAAAGAACGTGGGCCTTACCAGTAGAAGGCACGGGAGCCTGAGAATTATTTAATTGGTAGATGGCATCTAAACCACTGGCATTTTAACCATCCAAGGGTCGAAAAGTTTTGTGTGAGCTGGAAAAGTGAAACAGGTCAGTTAAAAAGATCTAAGTGTAAAGGGCAATACTTGTAGTAACTAGTCAGAATCAATTTTGCACTAGTAAGCTCTCTAACTCTAGTTTCTTGCTGCAGTGGGTAAGGTCAGGGCTAATACCCTGCTAACCATTAAAGAATGTGAGCCTTACCAGGATGAGCCACTGAACCCTGTGACACATTTTGCTGGGTAGATGGCTTAAGAACCTAATTGACTTTCTTTTGAGCTGGAAAAGGGAATAACATCAGTTATAAAGAAAAGGCAAAAACTGTAGCAACTAGAAACTCTTCTTGAGCACTCTGGTTCTAGGTATCAGGCTGTGGAGGTGCCATGAAACATCTGCCATTCCCGCTCTTGCAGGGCCCTCCTCAAATCATCTGTGCAACAAGTAACAACTCATGCGAGGCTCAGAAGCTTCAGAGTTTTCCCTATATGCTGTCAGATTTCTGTGTGCAGTAGCAAGAGTCTGACCTTCCATATCACCTGTCATCTCCCCTACGGAAGCTTTACATGTTCCAGTTGTCACAGAGGGTTCTTAAAGTAGATGTACACCCTAATTGAAAGACATTTAGTTTGCTCTGTGCAATGTGCATCATAAAAATTGCTTTTATTGTTTTATGAAAAGTTTGTTTTCCCTTTTTTAAAAGTTTGTTACATTACACTGCTGCGAATCTCCTGCAGCCATTTCCTGTCTATGTGCACTCCAGCAATGGCTGCATATTTTCCAGAGCAGGTTTCCCGATGGTGACAACAGTGCACCATGTCTATGTAATGTGTCACTGCCACTTGTTTCCAAATGAAGCCCTTGTGACAGGGTGACAACATAGGAGCACAACTGGGAGACGGGGACAGAGCACTGTCAACCTATAATAGGAAGTGCTTGAAGAAGGGCCATAATGGCAGGATCACTGAATATTGTTTTATTAAAAGCTAAAGATTTTAAAAGATTGAAAGAGTCTTTTGAAAAAAATTAATGTAATGTTAGTGATTTGGTTTACAGATACTTCCATTCTTCTTGTTCATGGTCACCTGTAACTCCCACTGTGGTGATAAAATCCTTACTGATGAAACAAACTCATCAAATAAACTCCCGTGTTCTAGCAGGTATATTGGCCAGAAACTTCCTGTGAAACCTTTGGTTTTCTGTGCAGTCAGTCCTTTGTTCTTTCCATATTCCCCAGGCATTATGGTTACCTCACCTGCAGCCTTGTGCTGTATTTATTGGACACATTGCAGCTCAGAATTTTGCTTTATGGACATCTCAACCCAAGAACAACAGGCACGAGGGTTGTCATTGTGAGATTTTGCAGCATTCCAGACCAGTAGGGGAGGGTCTTCACAGAGTAAATTGAAGCCGCCCCACTGCATTTGTGCCACTGGCGATATGTCACCTGCAGCAGAATTGCCCATCTGATGAGATATTGAATGACCGTTATAAAAGTTGTACGGGGTTAGATTCATTTGCCTATCTATAATGTGTTGGAAATTTTTGGATGATACCGGGGGTCCATAGGGAAGGCAGCTCCTCTAGTAACTCCACATACTCAGATTAGAAGCAGACAGTCATAATTCTGTACGAAGGCAGTACAAAACTACATTGCCAAGTTTAAGAGTACATTTATTTTCTTAAGATTTCTTTTCAGAAGAAAAAGCTTAACTAACAAAATAACCAAACTCAGCGAGTGGGTGGTTACAAGCATTATTAGAGTCTGTGATGTCAATTCCTCAGACTATTATGGTTCGTGCGTTTGACTAAAAAAATGTTTACAAAGATTTAAACTTAGAAAAACCCATCCCTTGTTGTGGGTACTTCACAAAAGACAAAGACACTTCAAGAGAGCTGACAATTTATAGGACAAAAGTAAACACACTAAAAAGGAGAAATGAGAAATAAAGGCTTTGCTATTTCTACCTGCATTATGGAAATACTAGCTGCCTGGCTGTCTCTGACCTCAGTACATTTTTAAAGTGATATTAAAGTCAAAATAGTTTTGAACAATTTCAAATGCTGATAAAAATCAGTTACAACAGATGGTGCTCCTTGATGTTTACTAGTATTAGTTTCCTGCAGAATCATCTGGTCCCCTGAGCACTGGTCTTGATATCCTGTGTTAGGGTGGCTCCTTTCCCTTGCAGGGTACTATGAAGCCACGATCCTTGTGTGTGCTAGTAAGCTGTGTGTGTCTCCACAAAACACAGGCACAGCAAGGCAAGACACTCTTCTCCTCCCTGCTCCTCACTCCTCCTTCCTCCCTTCTCCAAACTAGTAGTTGGATAGTTGCTAGAGACCTCTCTGTCCAATGAGATCCTGTACTGAACAGCAAGGCACGGCACTCCTCTCCTCCCTGCTCCCCGCTCCTCCTTCCTCCCTTCTCCAATTTAGTAGATGGATAGTTGCTAGAGACTTCTCTGTCCAATGGGATGCTGTACTGAACAGCAAGGCACGACACTCCTCTTCCCTTCTGCTCGCTCCTCCCTTCTCCAGACTAGTAGATGGATAGTTGCTAGAGACTTCTCTGTCCAATGGGATCCTGTACTGGACAGCAAGGCAAGACACTCTTCTACTCCCTGCTCCTCACTCCTCCTTCCTCCCTTCTCCAAACTAGTAGATGAATAGTTGCTAGAGACTGCTCTGTCAGTGGGATCCTGTAATGGGAGGAAGTCATGGGAAGCTGTGCTGAGAAAGTTAAAGCCATCTGCTCAGAAACATGATGACCATAAGTGCATGGGCAAAAAAAATTAGGAAAAATTTTGTTGGCAATGTGTATTTGTTTGATCGGGATTCATTAATATAAAAAAAAAGATTGAGAGTTTATTACTACTTTTATCACTGACCACAAATACATAAACAGAAAGTGGAATCTGAGTAAAGTCAGAACTCGATGTATGCGTGAATACTAGGTCTGTGACTTGGAATGTATAAAAGCCTTTAAATCAGCATGAGGGTCAGGCAAATAGCATAGGTTGTCATCTTCTAGGCTTTTGTTTTCTTCAAAGCAAACCTTCCAATTCTGTGGTAAGTAAAATATTTAGACAATCTTTTCCGGACATCCTCACACAACATCTTGCAAGGGTGATGTCATCCTGCTGTTGAGCAACCCAACAGCAACCCAACAGCCTGATGGGCTGCAGTGTCTTCTTGCAGGATTTGGGCTACTCTGCATTCCCCGGAATCTTGACGTCAGGAGGATGACGTCACTCCCTGCATTACAGAAAACAGGGAACGGTGACTATATCATCTAACTATTTCCCTCCTCCACAGGTACTTTTATGCAGTATTTTAGAGGGGCACCTTGAATAATCAGACCTTGCCACAGAAGTGGAAGGTCTGCTTTAATCAGTCATGTACCTCTATAGGCAGCCTTAGGGCCATCTGCAATCATGTCAACTCTGGTGCACAGTTCCACGCCATGCATTCCTTCTCCTATAATATACACAACATTCAATGAAGATATCAAATGGGCAAGGGGGATGAGTACATGGATTTGACTTAGTGTCTGCCTCTCGCAATCTCCTATATATCAGCACTTAGATTGGGAAGGGGAGGGACAGGACTGAAAGCCATTCAGGTGTGTTGCATGATAATGTGCTAAGTAACATGTTGCTATGAGGACAGTGCAGAGTGATTAGAGAGATTACCTCATCAGTTTGCTGCTTACATTTTACTGTCCATTCAGCAGGCTGGGGTGGAAAGAGGACACCTCTGTACCCCTTCTACAGTCTATAACTGTAAGCCCTCATTCACACCTGAATGTTTTGTAGCGCGTTCTACGCTCGACGAAGGCTCTACAAAACGTCAAAAATATAAATCCTATTGCATTCAATGGTCTCGTTCCCACCTTGGCGTATTTCCACCCGTCCCTAACGCGCTACAAAACGGCCCACGCCTGAAAATGTACATGTACTACTTTGGGCCGTTTTGTTGCGCGTTTCCATTGGGATACAGCCAAGTAGCCTTCGCAAACGCGCGTTTGTCGCGCAACTTTTTTTACAGCAAATCACGGTAAAAAAACACGCGACGGTCGCGCGACAGACGCGCATATGCAATACGCCTAGGTGTGAACGAGACCTAACAGTGAAAGTGGTGTGACTAGCAGGGCTGTGCTGTGTGGCAGGGCTGTGTACATACCAGAACTGGATGGACAGAAATACATATCCTTTGGATTGCAAATCTGCTTCATTATATGTAATATATCTGCGTATTTAGCTGTTTCCCTGGATTCAGCTTTAATTCACTCAGAGAGACATGGCACAGGTATATCCTTAAGTTGTATTAAACTCTCAAACTTTTTTTTTCAATAATGAATCCATATCAATCATCGCACACGCGCCTGATGACGTCCTGTGCTGTTACCTGCCGGCAGCCATCTTGATGGTATAGTGCCAGGTCCCCTCCTCTCTCGTGCAACTGTCGGGCTCTCGGTCCATGGTGCTTATATTTTAAAGTCCCCAATACAGTCCTTTTGCAGGACCCCAGCAGGAGCATACTGGCCTCAGTACTGCCACAATTTGGCCATATTCACTCTGTATGGTTGACAGGTACACTTTCATCCATGCCAAAGTTCTCTTTTTTTTTTTTTGCAGTTTCTGCCTTTTTTAAACTATTGTCACTAACCAAATCATTACACTCCTGAGTTATAATAATAATGTTTATTTTATAGGAATTCCATTCTATCCTGTATCTACTACATCATCTCCTGTGAAGCCAACTGCTGGCAACATAAAAGGTAAGCTATTATAACATTTCATCCATAATTCTTATGATTGCAGCTATGTCAATAAAAGCCAACCCATCATGCCCAGTCAGCCAAGTATTGCTGCCATCTTTTGTTCACAATCATGCACTTGAATTCTGGTTTTAAAATTAAATTTAAAGACATGAAAACAGCCTGAAAACAGCCAGTCAAACAGGATTTACCCAACAATATTGTTAACTGTATGCACAAAAAAATCTAATGACACAGGCTGGCATGATTTACAATAAATGTTTTGAAATGCAGTAAAAGAACACTTGGAGTGACAGTACACTGTATATGCTATGCTAAAATGGGTCAGGGCTGATAAAAGGGGATTACAGCCAGTCCTGCTGTACCAGGCCCCTATAATGACATATCTGTAAAAAATAAGTCAAGGCAACTGGACTTGCTGTATTTCACTGGTCATCCAACCAGCTTTCTCAATTCAGAGGTGGGGCCCGGCAGGAGCGGAGCACACAGCAACAAGAACCCCTTGCAATTCAGAGGGGGGTCCCGGCAGGGGCTGAGCACACAGCAACAAGAACTCCTTGCAATGCCTGTGCTGCTTGTCAACTACAAGTGATATATCACTTCTACTAGCCTGCGATTCTTCCAATCCTCCTCCTTGGTTTTCAGGGTCCTTAGCTCCTCTGGGGGTCCTGGGACATTGGCAAATGGTGTCAGGATTGAGAGTGGGAGCAGACTAAGGACATGCTTGATTGTTTGTATTGGAGGATAGGGCAGTCATCAGGAGTCTACTAGACCCCTGATGTTTTCATAAAGAGAATCTGTCACCTCCAAATGCTGTCACTTAGGGGCTTGTTAGCCCGTTTGTGATAGCAAAAAAAGTTAAGTGGAAAAAAAAAGGAATAAAATGAAAAAAGATAAATTACTATAAAATAATAGAAATAGAAATAAAGATGTAAAACCGAACCTGTCACCCCTGCCATCTGACTCAAATGAACATACGTGTATGGCTCGCAAGTGTATGTAAATGGGGAGGCTGGGGGGCCAGGTAGCCTGTACGGGGTCCCATGGTTCCCAATGGTGGCCCTGTAGTGGCTTATACGTATTTGGAGCTTCTACACAAGTATCTGTGCAAGGAGTGACTCTTCAAGAATTAAGCTTGGTAATCATGGTCAGAATTGTGTTTGAAAATAATTGTTTTTGGATAGTAAGTTCAATTCTCTAAGAGGTAATGGGATCAAATTGATGGTTGATTTTGATTATAGGGATGGAAAAATTCAAAGGAGGAAGGAAGAAAACTTTTCTCGAATGAACCAAGCTCTAACAGTGAATGTGGTTTTTGTTTGGAAAACTCAATTTATTGCAAAATGTAATGTTAAAATCAAATGACATTTTCAAGTCTCTGACGGCATTATCAAATGTTCTGACAAGATTTTTCATACAAACATCTGTACGAACTCCATAAATTGCTCTACTACTAAGAAGTTTAACTGGCCTGTAACCTTATTTAAAGCACACTGAAATCAACCTGATTCTTATGAGATAAGTGCTAACAAGCAGTTAAACCTCTCAGTATCAAAGAAGTTTTATTTCCTTCAAACTCCATCAAAATAATGTGGCATGCTCTCCAGAGCCTTTCAGGGGTTCTATG